CAATAATGAGCTGAGCAATGGGGTCGCCTTTGGCGATCTTCAGCTCGGATGGTCCGGTGTTGGTAACAACAACCTTGACTTCGGCTGGGTCACCCCGCTCGATAATGCCTTCGATTGCTCGGATTCCTTTGGCTAACGGATTCCCTACTGGGGTGATTCTCCCGTAGGTGCCAACTGGTAGTTGTATCCGGATTCCTGTTGGAATTTGCAGTGTTGCATTACTGGCGACTCCCTGGTTTTGACTTGCATACAGTTCAAAGCCTGCTGCTGTATTGGTCTTTTTCTTGGGTTCCTGGCCTCCTCGTAGCTCAACTTGAAGTGTTGCATCCCTTTTCAGGAGAGCAAACACCTTGTCATCATTATCATCGAGCGACCTGATTGCGTGCGGGTGCGCATCGTGATATTCCTTGATGAGTTCCTTTGAGCCTTTGAGGTTCGCTACTGGTTCCCATGTATCCTCGTCGGGAGTGGTATTCTTCCATCGTACGAGGTACTGAAGCTTGCGGTAGTGTCGGCGAGAGGATAAGATCTTCTCCACTTCCCATTCTTCATGGCCATCAATGATAACCGGCTTTGCAGCTGGTCCTTTCTGGCCTGGGATTTCCGCCTCGTGGTAGGGTATGAGCTTACTGGCGTGGAAGACCGGATGTAATTTGGTCAACCTTGGTGGCCATTTCAGTCTGAAGGTGACTGGAGAGAGTTTTTCAACAATCTCAAAAGGCCCCGAATACCGTGCGTTGAGCTTTTGACCCGTGGTTTGATAGTCTCTGAGGTCGAGTAAGACCTTGTCGCCCACCTTGAAGGGGACTTTCTGGACTCCTTGGTCATAATACCACTTCATACGCTCGGCTGCCAGTTTGAGAGCGGCTTTCGCCTGCTCCTGCGCTTGTTGTCGGTTCCAAACAATGTCATTGAGGTCGCTTCTTTGCACCTCCTTTGTAAGTGTTGGACCTGCCCGTGGATGTCTGCCATATTCCAAGAAGAATGGTGTCTCCTTGGTGCCCTCATGCGCTGCATTGTTGTAGGCGAACTCAGCAGAGCTAAGTAGCCTTGACCAGTCGTCGAGTTGATAGTCGACGTAGCAGCGAAGATATTGCTCCAGAACTTGGTTGACTCTTTCAGTCTGACCATCAGTCTGTGGGTGGTACGTGGTGGACATGGTGGACTCTATCCCTAGTAGCTTACACCATTCCTGGAATAGTGTAGCCGCAAACTGAACACCTCGGTCGGATATAATCTGGGATGGTAAGCCATGAAGCGGCCACACCCGATTGTACAGTAATTCTGCTAGATCCTTTGCCGAGAACTCGTTTGTTATTGGGTAGAAGTGAGCCCGCTTTGTCAATCGATCCACGACTACACAAATGGCATCGTAACCATCTGATTCTGGGAGCTGAGTGATGAGGTCGACAGTCATAACTTCCCATGGCCCTTCCGGGACACGGTTGGGTTGCAATGGTCCATACGGCTGTTGCGGACGGTTCTTCATCCGTTGACAAATGTCACAGCCGGTCACATACTTCTTGACAAATACCGACATGCTAGGCCACCAATAGTTGCGTGAGACGAGTTCATATGTCTTCCACCTTCCAGGATGTCCGGCTGAGGGGAGATCATGATGCATTTGAACTATTCGCCTGTGCAAGTGGTCCTGCTTGCTGTTGGGGATATATACTTTGCCGTAATAAAGCAACAATCCATTCTCATAGTTCCAGTCCACAAGGGACTTGCCGAATTCTCTAGGACCTGACTTCAGCAATTGCTGATAGTTCTTGGTCACATCGTCATGTAGGAGTGCTTCCTTCACTTCCCTCAGGAGTTGATCGTCATTAATGGGCGACTCATGGGAGGCCTCGACTGCATTGATTGCAAAAAACTCCGGTTTCAACAAAGTTTGATCCCGATTATTGAGGTTCACCCCCTCCTCATGGTCTGGCCTCCTGGACAGAGGGTCGGCGGTAAGCATTGTTTTTCCTGGCTTATGGCGCAAAATGAAATTGAATCACGTGAGGTACAGAGCCCATCTCGCTTGTCTCCTAGTCAACTTCTGGGCGGTTTTGAAGTAAGTCAGATTAAGATGATCCGACCAGATCTCGAATTTGTCCGGATGTCCCTCCAAATAATGCCTATACTCTTCGAGTTCTCGAATGATAGCAAGCATCTCTTTGTCATATATCTCGTAGTTTCGCTGATGAACATCGAGTGACTTCGAGTAAAAGGCAACTGGGTGCCACAACTTGTCAGTTGGGTCCAATTGGGAGAGAACTGCGCCGGTCGCAAAGTCGCTGGCGTCAGTCTCAAGTCTAAAAGGGGACGTCGCATCCGGGATTCGAAGAATGGGCGCTGAGGTAAAGGTCTCTTTCAGACCATTAAATGCCTCTTCCTGTGCCACATCCCACACCCATGGTTGATCCTTCTTGGTCAACGTAGTGAGCGGTTTGGCATACTTGGCAAAGTCCTTGATGAATCTTCGATAGAAGTTCGCAAAGCCTAAGAAAGCTTGGACTTGTTTGACCTTAGTAGGCCGTGGCCACTCGGCTACTCCTGAAAGTTTCTTCAGGTCCA